AGAATATATTTCTCAATACTGAGTGAAATTAATACTCAGATATGAGTACTAATCGAGTTAAGTGTAACACAAATTTGAGTAAAAGTCACTCAATAAAAGGTGTACTTGAACTCAACACTTAGTGAGTTCACTCATTTTAAAGTGAATAAATTATCAAAATCGAGTCTTTCGTCTAATCTCGATTGAGTGAAAACACTCAGTGCTTTTCACTCTGTGAATTGAAGATTCACTCAGTTCTGTAGAGTAGACATTTCACTCAATCGGGTGTGGACAGAAATTGAGAAAGTATTGAGTGAAATCTGAGTGAAATTTCACTCAATTTTTTTTACAGTGTAGTGAAATAAACTCTTAACATATAAAATAAGGCGAAATTTTCTATGTTTCATACTCAGTGAAATGCTCCAGAGAACAAATTAAAGCCTTAATAATAAAATAATTAAGTTTCTGCGATATCCGTAAATTGCGAAATGGTAATAAACTGAAGCTCACGTTTTATTACGCCGAGTTACAAGTCTCTTGTGACTCGGATTTAAGGGGTTAAGTTTAAATTAAAACTGGAATTTTCATTTCTATGAATATCCCGACATTTATATACGACAAAATTCTTCAAGTTGGAATCCGAGAATGAATATGTAACTATAAAATTTACTATTATGTTATTGTTTGTATATTTTCAAAATAGACTATAAATTATAGTTATTTATGTAACAAGGGAGTTATAAGTGTGCTAATTACCGAAGGCAAATTTCTATAGCTTCATTCAGAACCTCTCAATTAGTGGAATAAATTAGTGGTTTCAATTAGCGTAGAAGCGTGTTCCTTTAATTTCAATATAAGAATTCAAAACGTCAAAATTACGGGTAGACATTTTCAATTAGTAGAAAAAGTTGTCAAGCTTTTAACTTTTCCACTAATTATACTTCAAAATTTGCGAGAAACGTCATTTTGGCCTTTGATTATCATCCGTCAAGAGAAATTTTGGTTAGAAATCAAAAGTTGATTGTTTTATAAGCTAAATATTAGGATCTCTCTATGGATACAACTGACTGCAAGCTATTGCTAGCAGCTATTTACTTTAGATGGTCTATACTTAACTTTGTTATAAATATCGTAATATTACGAGTCAACGTTAAAATACGAGAGAAAAATCATTGGGTGGCTTTGATAAAAATTTACTGTGGAAAATGCCATATGAAATAAAGAACCGTTAATATCTGCGAAACCGTTAAACATTTTGAAATACTCAATATACTATAGCGTTTTTTAAACAACTACCACTGCGAACAGCAGCTTTTCATCGGAGAGCAGTCGTGGATAAGGTATTTCACTGGAAAAAAAAGTAATTAACAAAAAAAAATCAAAAAAAAAAGATATTGGGCGCCAGGCATGTACAGAGAAAGAAAACACAGTTGTATATTACTTAAAACTAATGACTATATTTATTCATGTTGAATTCTGATGGTAAATAACATTGTACAATTTTATTAATTATTATAGTGGTTGTATGTCGAGTAAAGCTATGTACATAAATAATATTAATTATGTTCAATGAAAAGACTATGGAAAAATACAATGCGTGTAAAGTTATAGAAAATATATGAAAAGTAGCATTACTTTATTTAATTTTGTTAATTTTATGCAGTGTTAAATCTGAGATGTTGCAACCCGTAGATTCTAGAATCTATGTTTGGTTATTCGTCTGTTAAAATAGCGCAATAATAATATCTATGAAAGTAATACTATTACAAGACGTAATGTAATGAAACCTAAGATCTAAATCATATTTTAAATACTAAATCGAATGAATGTTCTTAACGATCTGGTTAGATCGTTTAGTGGTTACTAAACATAGTCTGTACGATATTATTTAAGATGTACATTATTATGTTAAGACTGAAAATGTTTTAAATGTAAAATGTAAAGCTAGAACTTAAATCTACACTTAGCTGTTCTTTATGTAATCTTGCTTCAAACAGTAACAGCGTGAGGTGGGCTCGCATCTCTGTACTGTCTCTCGGCTATCCTGTTGGCCAATACAACAAAAGGGGCCAAGGATGAGGACACCATGAATCAATACAACAGTAATTACTGACTAGGCTTAGAAATAGGAACGAAGCAGCATGGGGCTTACGCTACATGCATACTGTGGCAATATGGGAACACTACCCGTTGGATAATGCCCGTACCTTGGATACTGTCCGTACCTTGGACATCCAACCATAATACCCTAAAAATACGAAACTCGTGTTTAAAACCTACCAAGGTGTAATAAACACAATAAACCTACCTCGAATTACTTCCGAGGGCTCAATAATAAACAAAGAAACTGTCCTTTCTTCCATTTAACATTCTGGAGGACAAAAGAAAACTAACGTGTCAGCAAACACCAAATACGAGTTGAGGTGAGCCAGTCCAAAACTCTACCCTAAAAATATTCAATAATAATAACGAAAGATAATATATCATCTTTACCTGTCGCTTTGAAATAGCAGCTGATTCAGATTATACAGCAAGATTTAAATAATTACCATTTCTAAATGCCGGGATGATGTGTTGGTGATGGCTACAGAGCGGCAAAAGCAAAAGTGAGTTCACAGCGCAGAGAGCGAAACCTTGAAGCGATGTTGACAGCCCTCCACAGAAGCAGAGAAACGATAACAGGGTTGTTGACTAGAGAACGTAAAAATTACGCCAAGCGTCTCAAACAAATTATCAGGCCTGAACAATACGGAATCGGGTGACGATACGCCAGACATCATATATCATATATAAAAAAAAGAGTATATACAGAGTGTCCGTTTAAAAAAATGAAGAAAAATTATTTTATATTTTAGAAAGTTTAGCGTAAAATTTTGAACTTCCTGTAATATTTAAGATTACCATATTTATAGCATACAGATGCCCGACGCACTATTGCCGGACCCTGTACCTATAGAAGATTGTAAATGAAATATGTCTAGAATCTTCTGAAGAATTCAAAAACTGAATAGCATACAGAATGTTGCATTTAAAACAAGAATGTATTCGCCATTTTTACATGGCAATAACAACAACAATAGCAAGATATAAAAAATGAACGATACTAACTAGCCAAGCATCGCGTGCTCTTTAACTCTAACTTAAAATTACTTAATAATGATATAGTTGGAGAGTTGGGGCTTTTAAAGTCCATTTTTCGCGTGTTAACTCTAAGAGAATGAGTATAATTTAATAAATTACGTGGAGAAATAAAAAGACCGGCCACGTTTCAGACGTTTTGCAGTTTATTTTGACATTTCCGTGACCGTTGTTTTCCGAGCAAATTTGAGGAAAATATAGAGAAAACAAGGTGGAAAAGCAAATTACATATGCATGGCTTGATTGAGTCAGATCTGTTGAATTTGTTACGTTTATTTTTTTAATAAGTTACTGTATTTTAAGTAAATGTCTTTTTTTATTACCACGTTGCTAATATTGAAGAGAGAATCCTTTGATCATCAATTAAAAGACCATACCCTAATGTGATATAGCTAGAAAACTAAATACTCATCTTTTCCCAACTCAAGAAATTCTCAGACACAAAGACAAAAGAAATAAAAATGAACTTTCGACATCCTGTATCTCCGAAACGAAGCATTTTATGACATACATTTATACGAACTTTTTACTTATTTTTATCTGCAGAATATGCTACCGGAATTTTCCGATTACAATTCGGTTGAGTATAATAGACAGAAAAAGCTTGAAAAATGCTTGGTTTTCTTTTACATTAAACGTGAAACGTTAAAATAAGGTTAAAATATTCTGGTAAAACAATAAATATTATTACCTACTTTACATTAAAAAAATCGAAGAGGAAAAGATGCTTAGTACAATGAAGAAACTGAAGAAACCGAAAAGCGCCAGGTTTGGGTTTCCGAACAGACAATATTACAAATGAATTCTTGAAACATAGTGGTCCCGAGCTAGTAAAATATCTAAGATTGTTATTTAACAAGATTCTCGAAACATAAGAAACTCCTCAAGAGTGGCACAAAAGCGTCACAATTCCTATATTTAAAAAAAGGACAAAAAAACTTTAAACCCTCCTGTGTTACGCTGATGATGCCGCCATTATCGCGGAGACAGAGGACGATATGCAGATACGGCTTCATAAATTCGATCAAGTAAGCCGAGAATTAAATATGATTATCTCTCCAGAAAAAAAAACGAAATGCTTAACTTTCTCTAAAGAGCTGGTAAGATGCAAACTGGTAGTGGAAAACAAAATTATTGAGCAAGTATCACAGCTCAGAAACCTAGGAATAGATATGTCGTACTACCATGATCCAGAGAAAGGTTTGAGAAGCCAGATAAACAGAGCAACGGCAATGTCAGGATGTCTGAGGCAAATAATGTGGACAAACCCCTTCCCCATGCGAACAGAAAGCAAAATTAAAATTTATAAGACCTGCATCAGGCCAATAATAACATATGGCATAGAAATTCGAGAGGAAACAAACAAGACCAAGAGCATGTTAAGAGTTGAAAACTTCAAAACCATAATGAGCAAGACTAGAAGATGAGGATTAGAAACACAAATATCAGACAACAATGTGGAATATAGGATGTACTGAGATGGAGTAGGCAAAGAAAAAGACAATGGCTACCACGCATGGCTATTGAAGGGAAACCCATGGGTAAGAAACAGTCGGGAAGACCTCCAAAAAGATGGAAAGACAGTTGGCAGTCCATCTCCCAAGAACTCCTACAGAGGCAACCTTAAAATTAACAGATCGAAAGATCTCAAATAAGTAAAAGAAGAAGAAGAAGACATTCGCAGGTTATTTTCACAGCAAATATCTCTAATATAAGAAGAATTTTAGGTTGAAGTCACACATCAGTGGCTATTTTGCTTTAAAATAAACTACATATCAAAAATTAGCTTTTTTATTTTTTTCCTGTTTGATTACTCCTTGTCCTATTAGATGTATAATAATCGCTTCATTTAAGCTAATACGTTTTTTTTTATTTTGTTACAGGAAGTTCAGATTCTGAAGTCGTTGATACTGGGTGAGGAAGAGAGAGGCCAAAGCCAATACCAAGTGATGTGCTTTATCTTTCATTTTCCGAAAGACTCTTTTATATCATCTGACGCCATGTCGAAATTAAGACAGAAGAACCCCAGTACAGTGAGAACTCCAGAAGAGGATTTAGGGAGGTAAATACCTATTTTATTGTTTATTTTTAAAACTGAACTATCGAGAAAAAATCTAGATGATAAAATTATTTTTAAATTCCTTGTTGGGTTAAGATATTCTACACGGTCTTTCAAACTTTCACAAAAATATCAACATTTTGTTTTCCTTCGTGTAATTGACAGATTGGAACTTTCGTTTTTAATTTATATAGGAAGATACAGATGTTCTCTATGGGTATCTCGGAAACTACTGGAGATAGAGAGTTGGTTAAATAGGGAAAGAATTGAAGTTTTGTGGGGTCATAAATATGCGCCTTTCAGATTTTTGAAAAAGTTCATGGCTTACTAGATATTTAAAAAAACGAATTTTGGCTATTTTAAAAATCGCCCCTAATTCCATTATAATCTATTTTAGGGGAAAAGTTTTCGGATAAAAGTTGTAGATAATGACATCCCTAATGAGTTTGTGTTCTCCGATTTTTTCTAAAACCTGTCATTTTTGACATATGACACAAACATATGTTTTTTTAAATGGAAACCAGAGTTGGCCATGACTTCACAAAAAGAACCATTTTTTAAGCTTTTCAGCGATATAAGCTATAATATGTTTTTTTTCAAAAAATGACTGTGTTATAGCCAATTCTTATCTTTCTTGTGAATTAGTCACTTAGTTGGTATGGTATTCTTATTCTGTTATAATTTATAACTTATAAAAAGACAGAATATATTATTAAAAACGGTTCTTTACAATTTACATTACACAAAATAAAACTTAAAAAAATTATATCACTGCATATACTTTAAGTTATTTTCGAAAATGTTCAAAAAATCCGCCATTGTTTTGAGTACATAAATGCATATTTTTAAAACTGAATTACTACCTATTCTCACAGAACGACCGGTCGACTTTATTAAACTCCTCCAGTACCGCCTCTTCGAGTGACTTTCTTAATTCATAAGTTCTTTTGTAAACCTTGTTGTTAACCATACTGCATAAAAAATCTAAAATGGATAGGTCAGGTGATCGAGGAGGCTCATGAAATTGGTCCACCTCTTCCTATTCCTGGGTTTGCATAATTATGATATAAATAATTTTTAACATTTCTTGCATTATGGGAGGAAGGTGTCAAAATGAAAGCCATGTTGGAACCACTCTATTGATGCGAGTCTCTGAATTTAACTTTTCTAACATGTCTTGAAAACCGTTCTCTAAAAAACTTAAGTAACGTTTACCGGTCATCGTATCTTCGAAAATGTATGGCCAAGTAAAGTTGAACCAATAATCCTACACGCTTTTCTTCATTTGAAAAATTCATATTTACAATTTTAATTTACAAAGTTTGGATGTGACAGTTCTGAAAGCAACGACGATTGAACTTGTTTTCATGGCTAACCAAGTGAAATTGTTTAAAAATGTTAATAATTGGCTATAACTCAGTAAGTTTTCGAAAAAAATATATTATAGTTTATATCGCTGAAAAGCTTAAAAAATTGCGCGTTTTATGAAGTCATAGCCAACTATAGTTTTAATTAAAAAAAACATATGTTTGTGTCATATGTCAAAAATGCAAGGCTTTAGAGAAAAACGGAGGACACAATCTCATTAAGAATGTGTTTTTCTACAACTGTTATCTGAAAACTTTTTGTCTAAAATAGATTATAATGGAATTAGGGACGATTTTTAAAATAGCTGAAATTTGTTTTTTTCGAAATATCTAGTAAGCCATGAACTTTTTCAAAAATCTTAAAGGCGCATATTTATGACCACACAAAACTGCAATTCTTTCCCCATTTAACAGACCCTCTATCCCCAATAGTTTCCGAGATACCCATAGATTACATCGTAGAAAACTCACCCTGTATATTAAAAAGTCAAATAATTTAGCTACATACATGTTGCTTAAAAAATCATCAAAATCAGCCCACTAGAACAAAATATATTAATCTTTAAAATACATCAAAATTTTAAGGTGCCCTTTTTTCGTGCTTGTGAGGGTATTTATAATATGTACTTACAAATTTGTACAGAACCCTCGGTAGACCAACTGGGTTTATATTTGAGGTTATAAAAGAAAACCAAGTATTTTTCAAGTTTCTTATGCCTATTATATCGTAAAAAAATATATTAAATATAGAATACCTATCTAAGTCTAAACTTCTGATTATTATTCCAGGGTGAACCACACGATGGACTACGTCGTCGTCCTGAAACACGCGGACATCATCAGCCCGTTCATCAGGGACATTTGCGCGGAGGCCGGACAGGCCACCTACACCCGATACGAAGATATACTGAAATGGTCCAATATCCATGGTAAGTGTTATCGATGTTGGCCGAGGCCAAATTGAAATATTTTTCATCTGAATGGGGCCCAGGTCTGGCGTTAACGATGTCCTCGCCCGAAAAGATACGTTATTTATGGGGTTGTAATAGCCCCATTTGGTTTGAAAGTGGGGCGTGTAATGGTGGAGCAAGATAGCGAGATAGAAAAGTTTGAAATGATATATCGAACGCTACAATAAGTAGATATCGATGATAGTTATTGAGGGCAATTAGGAATATCGATAAAACTAAAACCATGTGCACTCCCCGGGAAAATCACAAAATTGCTATAAAAATCGGAGAATTATTGGAATATTTAGCGGAATTCGCATAATTTGCCATTCCTTACTGGCAGAGTCTATTTAAGAAATTATATGTAATTGTTATACCGCCATCTGTTACTGAAGAATCAAACGTAATGGAGAAAAAATAATTCTTTTTTAATAATTATAATTAATTACAGTTATATAGAGGGTGGGCCAAATTGGACGCTTTTAAAGGAAAACGGCCTTTTCTATAGGAGATAGACGAAAACTAATATCAGTGTCTGAGCTCAATTTTTATCAAAAACATGATTGTGAAAACCGCACGTCGATATCTGTTACCGTTTCGGAGTTACGGGGTGTTTTTCAAAAATGTGCATTTTTAACAAATCGCTGTAATTTTTTTGCTCTGGAAAATTTTGTATTTTTATGAAAACATTTCTAAAGCACCTTTTTACGTAGAATTTTATGGTTGAAGTATAATTCTATTAAAAATAATAATTTAAGAATTATCAACAGAAAAAAAGCTCGAAAGAAACTGTCATGGCTCAGAAATATACGGAACTGGACCGGCCTGGGAGTGGAGGGGCTGTTTCATGTAGCAGAAGATAGAGAACTCTTCCACGAAATAGTCATGGAGATCGCCAACGCCTGAAGACAGGCAAGGCACCGCAAGAAGAAGAACAGAAAATTCTATTTGTATATGGGACACCCTGTATATTTTTAATTTATTGAATATAATTTAAAATTACCAAAAATACAGCATACTTGCTATTTTGCTCATATTCCTCTTGTAGGCTTTGAACAGCGCCGGCTGTGATGCAAAAAATTCTAGCTGTGAGCAGCAATTAAGACGAAAATAATATTTGCAATTAGAGATGCATAATTTTATAACAATTTAAACTATATTTAACAAGAAATGTCTATACCTATGTGACGGATTCATCTCTCCAAAAAAAATCTTTATGGGTATTTCGCCACTGCACTGCAAGAAAAATCACAAAATAAAATAGTTATTTTTTGTAAACACTTCTGGGCGTTAAACCTTAACGGACGCTGCTTGTCAGAAGTTATGTTTACAGTTATAAAAATTTGCCTAACAAAAAAAAATGCTTAACGTTTCGGAAACTTTATCTCTTTCCGTCGTCGGAAGCAAAAAAATACAAAGAATAAAGAAAAACAGATACGTCTACAGAATGAAACGTCAACAGTTTCTTAAAAAACGTCAACGGTTGTTTTAAAAAGTAAAGTGTTCTCGAATAGTTTAATTTAAATATTTTAAATAGTTTTTTTCTTTATTCTTTGTATTTTTTTTGCTTCCCACGACGGAAAGAGATAAACTTTCCGAAACGTTAAGCATTTTTTTCTTTGTTAGGCAAATTTTTATAACTGTAAACATAACTTCTGACAAGCAGCGTCCGTTTAGGTTTAACGCAGAAGTGTTTACAAAAAATAACTGTTTTATTTTGGAGATTTTTCTTGCAGTGCAGTGGCGAAATACCCATAAAGAATTATATTTAACAACATCAACACATTTAAACTATATCTAAAAACAATAAATATTAATAGCAAACCAAAACATGAGATTTTGCTACAAACATGAGATTTTGCTTGTTGACTACGTCTTCTGTTATGGACAGACCGGACCGCATACGGGCAAATTAAAAATAAGAAGCTTATTCTTCCGCAAAGATAAAAATCCTAGGCACTAAGTCCGGTGGCCTCGACGGCCAACGCCAACGGCTGGGATCTTGGTTAGCTATTCAGTTGTTCTCGAAATTAGCGGCAAAAATTTGCTGATAACTACAGAGTTCTGAGACGGTGCCTCGTCTTGCTGAATAAATATGTTTTCAAGTTCCATTAGGGGCAGATCATCAATAAGAGGTCCAAAGCCTACTAGCACAGAATATCTAGCTACGCAACAGAAAAATACTCGAAATGAAAGAGCTAAAATTGCACAAATAGAATACTAGATGGCGCGACAATATCATAATCAGAATATAATTAGAAATTTTGAACTTTCGGTTTTGGATCGACGGCTCGTCGACGGCCTTATAGCTCGGCTAAATATGCACAGTTGCCAGATCCAAAAGACTTGAATTGGCATCCCATTCTTTTTATTGTGTATAATGCAGTATGTGTTTCTTTCTATTCTTCTTTTCTTGTCAGATACACTTATATTAATTATTCCTTTGGCTATTAAAACAGTTTTAAGTATATATTACATTTTTAATATACACTATACCTTATAATGTTAACTAAGAAAATGCCTTTAATTACCTTTAAAATTAATAATATACAGGGCAATTGATAGTGATATTTATTAATGCTGGAACGTTAGTAATGAAATATAAGTTTAATAATAATGGAAATAATTTATTAAAATGATGTACAAAAAATGTTAAGTGACTAAAAAATACTATAATAACAAATTTCTTTTGTTTGCCACGTTATTTATATAGACCTAGGTAGATTTTAAAAAGTGACACAGGTACAATTAATAATATATTAGTTCGGCATAAAAGTTGCTGTCACGACATCGAACAATAAATTCAAATTCGTAAAATAAATTAAAATTATTAATTAAACAAATCTTTATAAAGAAACGCAAGTATACCAAATTTGGGCCCAATCGAACTCCAGGAAATGATATCATAATAGTGTACTATATTATGGTACCACTCGATATACTTTAAGGTACCATAATATTGCAATGTCACCGAAGATCCGTAGTATACCAAATTTAAGAACAATCGAACGCCATGAAATGGTATCGTAATATGGTACTATATTAAGGTACCACTTTATATACATCATAGTACAATCATATTACAATGTAACCGAAGATACGTAGTATACCAAGTTTAAGCCCAATCGAACGCCAGGAAATGATATCGTAATATGGTACTATATTAAAGTACCACTTTATATGCATCATAGTACCATCATATTACAATGTCACCGAAGATACGTAGTATACCAAGTTTAAGCCCAATCGAACGCCATGTACGTCATATAGTACTATATTATGGTACCAGTTGATATGCTTGATGGTACCATAATAATGCCATGTCATCAAAAATACGCAAGTATATATGAAATACGAGCTCAATCGAACGCCAGGAAATGGTATTGAAATATGGTACTATATTCAGGTACCACTTTATATGCATCATAGTACCATCATATTACAATGTAACCGAAGATACGTAGTATAACAAGTTTAAGTCCAATCGAACGCCAGGAAATGGTATCGTAATATGGTACTATCTTATGGTACCTCTTATTATGCTCCATGGTACCATAATATTACAATATCACCCAAGATACGTTGTATCCCATATTTAAGCCCAATCGAACGCCATGTACATAATATGGTACTATATTATGGTACCAGATGATATGCATCATAGTACCATCATATTACAATATCACCGAAAATACGTAGTATACCAAGTTTAATCCCTATTGCCGATATGTACCTAATATTGCTATGTCATCAAATATGGTACTATAGAAGGTACCACTTTATATGCTCCATGGTACCATGATATTACAATGTCACTGAAGATATAGTATACCAAGTTTAAACCCAATCGAACGCCATGTATCGTAATATAGTACTATATTATGGTATCACTTGATATGCTTCTGAAAAAAACGGCGTCCAGTTGGAAGGAAAAGGACGATCGATGACATTTCCCTTATAAATTTACATATAAAATGACAGTGATATTCATTTCATAGCTATCGCTAACGCCGTTTTTTCCCGATTATACAATATGAACTTGGTATGAACACAATCAAACGTCAGGAAGTGGTATCATAATAGTAGAACAATACTTATTATATTGTCGCCGAATTACAATGAAAATTCAGGATTCAATTATACAATCAAACGTCAGGAAGTGATTGTAATTTAGCCATAAGATTTAATTCCAACTAACATGGCAAACTGAAAAAACAGCTCTGATCTATTTTAATATGTTTAAATGATGTAGCAAATTTGAAGGTAGGCTTTATCAGGAAGTATTACGATATGAATTACACAATGGCAACACTGCACAAAATTCTATTAAATTTTGGTTGTAGAAAACTGTTTTCTTTTAAATTTATTGCCCTCTATTATGTAGTAGCGAAACTACGACATAAAAATATCTGATTTGGAGACAGACTTTTAAAGCCTGTCTCCTTTTGCTACCTACAATTTTATACATGTAACGAGGCTTCTGTTGCGTAGCTAGATATTCAGTTCTACTAGTTAAAAGTGGTGAACTTTTAAAAAATTTGTATTTCGAAGAGGACTATTATAACAAAATTATCAATGGTGCTATATTTTTGGAAAGGTAATTTTAAGTTCTTTTCAGTTAATTAAAAATATACAGGGTGTCCCAAAATAAAAAATCAACTTTTCTGTTGATAATTCTTAAATTATTAATTAAAAAAATATATACTTAAACCATTGAATTCTACGTAAAAAGGTGCTTTGGAAATGTTTTCATAAAAATACAAAATTTTCCATAGCAAAAAAGTTAGAACGATTTGTTAAAAATGCACATTTTTGAATAACACGATGTCCGGTTTTTGATAAAAATTGACCCCAGACTTCAGTGTTTCCTTTTAAAAGCGTCCAATTTCATATCATTTCAAAAATACAAAATTTTGCATAGCAAAAAAGTTAGAGCGATTTGTTAAAAATGCACATTTTTGAATAACACGAACCAAATC